TTTGTGAATTTTGAAAGCTTTTCTTAAAAAACGAAGTAAATATTATGACAAAATAGAAAGAATTTGTGATATTTGAAATTGCAGTTTTTAATTTAATAGTTTCACTTACATTTCCGGGCGATACACTTCAATGTCATCCAGATAATTAGTACAAAATCCTGTATTATACGGGTACTTGTAAAAAAATATTCTTAAATTTTAAAATTAATGAGAAAATTTATTTTAAAATTATTTAGCATTTTAGAAAAAATATATATTATTATATATTTTAGGGTAATATTTGTTACTTGTGCGACTTACATGTATTACATTATAGTAACTTTTATAACTTATATCATATAACTACTTAAAATATGAATATATTAATTGATAAATAATTTAATTTTTTTAATTAATATTAAAAAAAACAATTTTATTGTTATAAAGATAAATATAATTTATTTTTTTATACATTGGATGTAAATCGAAAATCATCAAAAAATTAATAAATTGATATATTATATCTGAAACTGATAAAAAATACGAAAGTTATTTACTTTTAAAATACATTTACTATTCAACGGTCATAATAAGAAATGATATTAAAATGCAATTAATACATATGACATGACAATAAATAATCAATATATTTATAGATAATTCAGACCTAATTATTTTAGGTTTGAAAGTAATTAAAATCTACTCAAACATAATAACAAAGCATATGATTTTGCCACATAGAATCTCGAAGCATGCTAGCTAGCCACTTAGGCTCAACACATTCTGAATTTAAACTCAACACATTCTGAATTAATACATAAGGGGATTTTGCAAGCCATATTAATTGTTAAAATCAGTAGATGGCCATAAACTTCAATAATAAAGAGAATTACACAAGAAACATGTCTCACTTTCTTTCAAGTTCAAGTAGCATTAATAAATAAAAAGTTTCAAACATTCATTCAAATACTCCTACAACAAGCAGCAAAGAATAAAAAAAAGGAATGAACATCTGAAACACGCTTACAGTTCAAGTCAAATTACTCTCATTACACCGTCTGCAAAATCCTTCTACAGGGAGCGAAAAGCAGCCGAGCTGAGGAGTGCCGACCCAAACGCATCATTACTGGGCCCACCACTCCTCGGGCTGCTCCCGGAGCCCGAGCTGCTGTTAGATAGAGAAACAAACTGCAACACACCCGTAGGGGACGACCCCGCCTGTGATCTAAGAGCCTCCCCCAAAGGGCCCCCTACCCATGCAACGGGCTTGTTGGCCGGTCCATCAAGATCGCGGCCAATTCCTAGGCCCATGTGGATGACTGGATCGAGCTCCTGCAGAGATGGGCCGGGCTTCACCTGAACATCCGAGATGGGGATAGACATGGACAGCTGGGTCCAGTCGGGTTTGAGCTGGTCGGGCCAGGAGCCTTCTTCCATGAAATGGTGGGCGGGGGAGATTCTTCCGGAAGGATTGAGGAGGGAATCTGACGGGACGACCCCAAATTCCGAGTTGGACGGCTCTTGGAATGAAACATGTTGTTGCTTTTGAATGGGGAATGGTGTGGCTTCGGGCTTCAGGGTTGTTGTCGTGGGAGGTATCAAGGAGAGTCCTTGAAATTCTTGTGACCTGCCATGTAACAACATGCATCAATGTTTATATACAACTAATCGGAGGCATGAACTATTTTATCGAACAAAACCCGAAATGCAGGTGGATTATGAATGTAGAACATAAAATTTGGTTTCCAACGTGATAAGTGCAATCAACATTAATAGCTAAGTTTTGATTCTTTCACCAAACGTCTACTCCCTCGACAAGAATACACATTAATGGAGGTGTTTGTATACAGTCACGAACGTTGGTTGAAAAAGGGTAAATCGCGCATAAAACTACTAAAAATGAACTCATTGGATATAAAAGGTGGGTGTGGTTGGTAAAACACTTACACTCTTTAATTAGCATAAAAAAATCGAAGATGTAACCGCTTTCAAAGAACTTTTGGTGAGAGCCAAAACGACAATTCTAGAAGGGGCTCGTTTCAAAATAAAGTATCTAAACCCGCATAAAATACATTAGTAGCAAAAAAAAAAAAGCCAAAATATGCATTGCAAAACTGCAAACCTGCTAGAGAAATAGTCAGTGGAAGCAGTAGCAGAGTTGGGCTGCTGGACCAAGCTTAGACCGGCAGACGCATTGTCTGCCGTCGACAAGGGTTGGCAGCCAGCTGGCGGCACCACCTTGGAGGCGGTGGTTGGTCCAGAGAGAGCGTGGCCAGTGCGGCCTTCCACAGGCTTTCTTGAACGATGGCGGCCTCGATTGATGTGCCTATCACAGTATTTCTGGTCAGGGACGGCATCTCTCGAGCACCGCCATTTTTTGCCATCTGTCCTCCTACACCTACCCGGCTCTGGGTCGTTGCTTCCGGAGATACCTAGATGGAATGGTGGGCCCCACCCCACTTTTCTCAAAACACACAAAACAAAAACATGTTCGATCAGGAGTTGGAAAACTGATTGTATGCTCCTAAATTGAGAAATTTCATTTCTTTCCTTAACATCTCTACAAATTGGTGAATCTTTTCTTAACAAAACAACAATTTTCATCAGTATCCAAGATTTGCCTTGATTCGACATAAATTAAAAACGACAAATAAATTGCTAAAAAAAACATGATCACCAATCAAAAAGTTGCAATTTTGCATAATGAAAAAAACAAATGCTAGAGGGTAAGAAGAAAGAAAAAGCTCACATAAATTAGGGTAGTAAGAACCGGGCAAACTGTAAGAATAGAGAGATCGTTTGAGGGGAACAAGCAAATTGGAAGGAATCGGCACATTCGCCACAATGTGCTTGTAGATCAAAGCCTGATGCTCGAGTTCCATCCATTGGGAGGGAGTAAAGGGTCCTTTCAGCCTCGCAAAAGGCCCGCGGCCACCCCCAATCAGCCCGAATTCTGCTGACAAAGTGTTGTTCAACTTCAACTACAGTAATCTAGACAGAAAAATGTTGAAGCCCTTGCTTCTAATTTCAATCTACAGGAATCAAAACATCTTTCTTAATTTTTTGTTATTTCATACAAACCCACAGTACTTGATACATAACAAGACAACCCACCATCAGCATCCCGTGCAAGAAGATGACGCCACAATTGAGCACACACATATACAGTGGCCAACAAGCTGATCTGATTTATTAATATATTGTACAATATTTAAAAAAGGGTTTTTTTTTTTTTTTT